CACCTGGTATTTTCAACCCGAACTGTTGGCCTCTGATAGAAACGTGAACAGGGAACATGGAGCCCGAGTGTATATTTCTACTTCAGCTCCCGGTCCCGTCGACATGCCAGCTGCGGTGAACTCCTCAACCAGTTTCTAACCAACTCATTTACCTCTATCCACGAGGAGCACACCGTCCAGACAACTGGGGGAGCAGACCATAGATCCCATCTTCATTGTTTCTAACTACAGGTGCTGAAAGGTGTAGCAGAATAACCTTCATCCAGAAATCATAAACTCTAGTTCCCCTGTCATTTGCTATGCATAAATGGTCATCATTTAACGAGACGACGCGAGGTGAAAAATGTGAATTGACTGAAGGGCGTGAGAGGGACGACGTACATTTGACTCCCTACGTGCTTGGTTGGAGACGCCGCGAGACCAACAGATGTCAGTGGTGTTCGCGATGTCACTTCTTGCCAATGTACCTGTGTGAGCGCTTGAAGATGCAAACAACTCAGAATGAATGCAGCTTACTGCTTACTCCGGCGGAGCCAGGCCCCCCCTATCCACTCCTACTCTTCCATCCTGAAGTTCTAAACAGAGACATCGGTGTCGATATTGATGTTCCCGTCGATTCTGACGATGATGAAAATGTAACCTCATTGGTATACCGAAGAACCATAATGTCTGTGCGAAGAATGACGATGTAGGCACCATGAATCAGACATCTTTGAAGCAGAATTATCTGGACACTCATCTCAATATCAACGGAAATGTAAAGTGCATTAGGTCCAGGCTATGCACATACAAATAAAGCTGGTGAGAAAGGTGATCTCATCGAAATAAACGATGTTTGAGGAATAGAGGCTACATTGCCGAATGCTAGCACAGCTGTAGGCACGAGAGAGCAACAGGCTATGCCAAATAAAGCTGGTGAGAAAGGTGATCTCATCGAAATAAACGATGTTTGAGGAATAGAGGCTACATTGCCGAATGCTAGCACAGCTGTAGGCACGAGAGAGCAAAGATATCTCAGTGCGCCAAATTAGCAAGAAGTTATAACCGCGCCAAAACGTATTTGTAATGAGCGCACAATTGAAATGAAGATCGGAGGTGTGTCAGGCAACTTACAGAGCCGTCGGAGGCACTCGCACCGACCTTATCACCCCGCGAATTCCAACAGACTTCAAAAATTCCTCCAGTTCCAAAGTAACTGTTGATGAGACCGCCCGTCTGAAAAGTAGATGTGGGTCATCAATTTATGGTTGGGTTATACGTGTCAGGAATCAAGATGTGTCAGTTGTCACCAAGTACAAAGACCGTATGCTGTTAAGAACACACCAGAAAGGAATCACAGTATATTTTGGACTGTCATGGCAAAGCCACAGTTGAGCATCAACGAGCTACAAACAACTGACTGATGTTTTCAGACCGGGTTTAGGGTAACGCGGGTGAAACCTGGTTCCAATTGGTAGGAAGCATGATGAGAGCCCAAAACATTTTGCGGAAAACCTAGGAAGCGATGGTCGAACGAACGAAGCAGACCTAAGCATCTCAGAAGGTAAGGTTGGGAATGCGAAATTCCAGACTAACTTTCCGTCTATCAGGTTCACACATTGTTCAAATTTACCCATTTACAACAAGCGTCGAACTATCTCGAAAGCCGCGATCAGGTTACGTCCTGTTTAAGGCGAGTAATTGAAAGACACGGGACATCAAGCAAGGGCACGAACGTGCACCATAAGTGAGACTGGGGGTTAATGATCGAATACAGATGGATAACAATACAGTTTATGAATCTGTCTGCATGGCACATCCATAACCACGAATGCCTCGAACATATGAGGTTTCGTTCAGGAATTGAAAGAGGGTTATGTAGGACGGGCGTTTGAGTGCGGAAGTGCTGGTTCCAGTAAATGAAAAAAAAAATCGTTCAACTGCAGCACCCTTTCGGTGCCTGACTGCCACGCCATCCGAAAAATGCACGAGGGCCGGGATACTGTCAGATTGCCCAAGCCTAGACAGGGGAAGTCAAGAAGCGGAGTTCGGCTTCGAAGCACGGACCTTCCCTCAGTAAGTTCACGATCCAACAACTAAGCGATCTCGCCCTGCGGTGAGTGAAGTTCAACGATATCACCACGCTGACACCAGCACGAGCCAATGTGAAGTGTCGAATGCGAGACGTACCCAAACAATATTAATTAATAGTGTTCGTTGCACAGCATACAATGATAGATAGAACGCGCGGGAGTAGATGGACAAACCGACTGATACTTCGCAATCATTCAGAAGCAACGCAGTTTCTGGCATACTTATGCGGAAAGTGGTCGAGTTAATGAGTGCAGTGAAATGCATCGACTTCGCAGCTAATAAATCACAAATGGTATACTGTTTGCAATCAAGTGTTAGGCGATGAAGCGGACGAGTCATCTATGGGAATGCTAATTTACCGGGAAGCGAAACAGTAATTCATCAGGCTTTCTTCGCTAGGCGAAGTGCACACTGAGTAAAAGTTTCGTGATCAGTAACTATGTTGGCTCGGGTAGAGTGGTCTCAAGTCTGAGAATGGTAAATTGACAGGGGATCGATACACGTGAAAATAACAAGTGACCGTAATGACTGCGTGTACTATAAAAAGTGGGACGTTAAAAAATGCGTTTCTGAAAAAGTGATGAGCATGGCTGGAAGACAGAGTACTCTACCCCCCCCCCCCCAAACACATGGATGCTAAAGCCGAATGTGATCCGAATCAGTGTGTCCCAATGTTGGATGTGTGCAGAAAAAAAAACCCAGGTTACAAGCGGTCTCCAAAGTGCACAGGGCTAATAGGCACAGATACGTGAACATGAGTGAAATGAAGAACACTCAATAAACAGAGCTCATCACGGGCGCCTTCATTTCTTTCAGTCTACCAAATTTAAGTGATCGATGAAGAAGCAGAAACGGCACGTGCAAAGCAACACTGCACGACACAGCACGCATTCGTGTAGTTGCTGTTGTCGTCGTCTGGTACGCGTTGTCGAATGCGTCGATCGTGCACGCGGCACTGACCGCATGATTGGTCGATTGGTTGCGGTGAACCGATTGATCCGCAAGCAACGCATTGTGTCGTTGTGCGCATTACTGGACTGGCGATAGTACGGAAGGTAGACTGCGAGGCGGCAATCGGTTGGTCGATCGTAGCTTATCGAGCCGGCGGTTGGCGTTAAACGTACTGCACGCCATTTTACTCAACATGTATTGTCAGTTGACTGGATGTGATAGTATAAATGAGTGAAAGCAATTCTAAATTCTGGTGTGGTGTGCTACGGCTCGATTGAAAACCTTAATTCAACTAGAAATCATGTCCAACCCGTGAGAACGTAGTTGGTTGGAACAATGGAAACAGTTCCGCTGCAGTTAGGAGGACATGTAGGACGTACTGACAGACCTATTAAACGAGGGTTGAAGGTGGATTATTAATTGAGGGAAAAGGCTAGTACATGAGTACTGTTATAGCCGCCTCTTCTGGCTAGACCAGACATAAGAAAGGGCTGCTGACTGGTACTTTAGGGTAGCCTCTCCGGAAGGAAGCAACCATCTGAAACTTGGCATAACCACTCCACTGCCGTCGACACATGTAAAGGGTTAAGGAGAACGGCTGGCTTGCAAACTGATCACTAAGACAGAAAAACGGATGAAGCAACCTAAGCAAATGGTGTTCCGTAGCTTTGATAACAAGAACAGAATTTCTGGGGATTCACAGTAAACGCCCATGTGCGAACCAGAACAGCAGTTAAATAATATCTGTTGCGGTTTGTGAACGATCAAATTGACGAGATGTGGGGGTCTCGGGACGTGTGGACCGTCTTCGCTTAGGGGGGGGGGGGGGAAGCAAAGATCAAGGACAGAAACTCACGCCAACATTCCATATATGAACCCATTGGTCAAAGGACCCGGTTGCAAGGAGTCGACCATCCGGACTGAAGGCCACACTATAGACAGGTTCACTGTGCTTTGACAGGATCCGTTGACATTTACCTGTTTCAACGTCCCATAACCGCACAGTGGAGTCGAAACTGGCACTGTCAAAAGGAGAATATGGACAATTATGTACCGTGCAACTAAAGCAGCAAACAGGAAAATTAGTGAAGAAATTGTCGGTGTGCAAAACAGAGGGTAAATCCATTGTTCCATGAAGCAAGACTGATTAATGTTGCCAAGAATGCGTCAAATTAAGATTTTCGCTGAATCTACGTGTCACCGATTTAATAGACCTAAGAATTATTTCGGCAACCAAGCGGATACATACGTCAAACAGTCACAGAAATTCGCGTTGGCATCGATAAATGCGACTTCTGTCACGTGGCAAAGCAAAGTTGTAAAAGCCTGAAGATGATTCACCAATTGCGATGCATGTTAATCCATCAATAGGAATCCAGGCTCAGTTGGCTTATTCACAGCAGACACGCCCTATTTTACGTGAATGACTTTCAACAGTGAAGAGTGCGTTATGACCACAACCCCGCTAATACATATTTGACACCGTTTCGACCTGCAATGCTGATGTGCAGCATCCTCAGTCACGAATGCTGAGTCCAGGAAGTACAGGATGTCCTACAGAAAGTAATCACGCACCAAACCGATGGAGCAGGGGTTTTCGGGCTGAAGCACCATTCAGACGCCCATTAAATGTATCGCAGTGATCGCGAGAGGTTTTGAGGTGAAATCGTCCACATGAGTAAAGAGAAATCCTCTTGACATGCACCCTGAAATGGGGACACAAAAATGGTGCTCTCACTTTCCACTGCTTTCGCCTTGGTGCATTAATAATATACATCTATGAGTTTTGGGTTGGAATTCCAATGGCAGCCACCATCTTCTGACCAAAAATCTTTCCATTCCATCAACTAGCGAAGAGGTTTTTATCAAAAGTGATGCTCAACCTGTGAATAACAAGATGGTCATCCTGGGAATGAGAGTGAAAGCTCTACAAATGGTTAAATGTGAGGCGACTTGAAATCCTTAAGACGAGAAAGTTGTGCACAACAGACCGGAATATTTGGGTGATATTTACACCGATCATCTCTGCCTCCTTATTCCATTCACGTGTCTGCGACTGAATCCACTTGATTTATACGGGGAGTTCCAAATAATGGTTTTATACAGCACGAAAAGCAGCTTATGATTGGAAGCCTGGAGATACAATGCAGCTGTCAAGAATAAGCGGCAGCACAGACTTCGAGGAAGAGTATGTCTTTCTTAAGCATTTGGTACACTGAAGCCCAAATGACCGATCACTTCATCTGATGAAGTTGTCAGAGTTGATCAGGTTAGAAGGCACTCATGAGATTCCCATCATGATGGTACTGCTTACTGCTGTACCACAGAGCTGATCACTAGTGTCCTCCGTGTGATAAAAAACCCTATTAGATTGTACTCTTTTGCTCATTGATCGAGCACTCCCTCTACAGGCATTTTGCTGTCACTAAACATGATATCTGCACAATGGGCGCAATAAGTTTCAGTGAGAACAATTAGTGGACTCTGACTCAACCAAAGCAATGGAAAAAGGGGTCTCTCGCTGTGAAACCGCGAGGCCGGTAAAAGCTGGATGCGCGGATAACTCTCTGATGACCTAAAGCAGAAATCCAAGCTTCACTGAAAAAGTACAAGCAGTTTCCGTAAGCAGTAAGTTTAGGAATCAACATTGTATGAAGTGAGCATGAGGACTTCATTTTACGACCATCGAACTGGTAATACTGTGTGCACATGCGCGTCGACATGTACGCTCGTGAAAGGCGCTATGTCATTTTGTTTTTCTGAAAGGGGGTGAGTTGGACACATGCACAATTGGTATCAGAAAGCTTTCGTGTCTATAATTAGGGAATGAGGGATGCTTCGGACGCAATCGGCTGGGTGGAATTCGCCATCGTAAGAATTTTTACAAACACGTCATTAAATATGAGGAAATAATGTTGACTTGTGAATCATCATAGAGTTACGACCATAGCTACGTTCTCAGTGGCGTAGAATGGATGGCAGTTCGTATGTCTTTCCTTCATATCCACCCCACCATGGCAAATTGTTCATGGACACCGAAATTGACGTACAAAGACCGGAACGAAGTACATACATACAATCCCGCAGGCCGGCTTACACACATTTGAGTGTAACCGGCCAACTACAGTCCTCGATAAAAGCCAGAGTAAGTGGCTAGTCATAAACACAAGCAATATTACGGCATACCTACCCGCAGGATCACAGGCATTTAACCATGTGACCTATGCGACGGAATTCAGTCAGTTTGAATGACGGTAAAACGAAGGGAACAGTAGAAAAACTGTTCATGCAAACGAGTGGTACAATAATGGGCCACGGTATAATGAGATTCTGCATTTTTATAGACAATTGAACAAGCCACGCCCGCCGTATGAAGCTGAAACGGTCGTCTTACTATCTGGCCCCGTTCTCCACAACATCCGTTATTGAAATTTCAGTCATTAAGAACTCACACAAGGGTTATAACTGAACACAATGATGCACGATGTACCAAGAGGTTATGTTCTTGTCTCCCTCACTGCTCAAATAAAAATCGTCACACAGATGGCCTCGTACTGTTGGACAGCATCTGGACAAATTCAGAGCTGAGTAAATTGATCGACTAATGTGGTGAGTCGCTCAACTGCCGTCGCGGTCCACCGTGACGAAACACGAATAGTATGAACTGGAAATTTAAAGGCGATGAACAGGCTCATTTGAGCAGCGGATATACTCACGTGTGCACAACCTGTTGCAGGATGTTTGACTCCTGGATTCGCCACCAAGAAATACCGACTCATCTAAAACTTTGAGAGAACTGTTGATTTGTTCCGACCTAGAAATATCAGTCTACTTGATCGCTACTGACTTCTGAAATCCAGACTTCCGTAGACTGTTGGAGGACGCTGATTAGCTGACGGGCAGAAGCACTGATATTGTGAAGGTTTGCGTGACGAGCGACAAAAATGATGTATAAACTTCACAGGTCAGTCCTGTTCAAATAAGCACATGAAGATGCAATTTTCAGGCTTTAAATTGTGTCAGATATGCGTAAACTTATGTTTCGTCGCGGAGTCACCCTCATCTTCACTGACAATCACATCCGTGTTAACACTAAGGCATCACGGTCATACAACCACAAAGTAAATTTGTGTTCGAAGACTTGAGATGGAAGAAAAGCGAAGGAATGGGCCTGGTGTTAGCCTATCATGTAAACGTTCAATCATACAAATCGGACCACAATCGAAATCAACGACGCCACCAATAGCATCTAAGCACCATATCGTGCAACGCTTCCAGCGAATCAAAGAAAGTCAAGAGGGCCTCTTCTTGAAAGTGGGGAGCACCAACAACAGAACAATTATTATTTTCCTTCATACGCTTACGTGCTCACAAGTTGTCCGCCTTGCAGTTGGTGACATTCTGGAATGGGTATTACGGGGGGCTAATCGCGGTAGGTTTTGTACGTCACTGAGCCACTGCAGTTAGTAGTGTCGGATGCTCTACATAACTGGGCAGCTAGTGCACACAAACAGCCGCTTTCTAATGGCCTCCTCGTTTGTATGCACGTTGTTTTACCTGGCGTAGATGGCAATTTGAAAGTTGGTTGCGAGATAGAAAGGAGCCTAGCAATTTTTATCAAAGATCTGATGCTTGAGAGACTGACCGGAATGTACGGCGGACGGAAGTCCTGGCATTGCTTGTGGCTCTGAGTTTCTCGCTCGTGATTGGTACTATAAGGTATTCTGTTAGCTAGTAAGCGCTGCAGCAGGCGGGTTGGTGAGCTACTCAATGGTGAAGTGTGTGAATTCTGCTTGACAAAATCAGATAAAATAAATGCTGATATATTTCTTTCCCAAGAGATTCTTTTACAGGAGCTACCGGACGAACCGTTCAGAGGGGACTGTGTCGTCAGCTACAGATGCTTTCGCTGGATGGCATATCTAGCCGTCGAGACCCACGCGTCACCAGAAAGACAACCGCAAACAGGAAGCAACCGGGCAGTCAGATTTAAGGCAGCAGCTATGTTTGTTTATTGTTTTCAAAGAACAGTCTTTTGACGTCCTTCGCACGCAGCGGTCAGATTTCTGATCCGCATAGCAATATGGATTGTCAGATCCAAAAAGAGCTACGTCATCTGCGTACTAGGTATCTATTAGCGGACGTCCCTGGAGAACCTCGACCCCATATGCGTTAGAGGCTGATAGTAAGTCTTCGATGATCGTATCAATGATGACGTTGAAGAGGAAAAATGAAAGGAGACAGTCCTGTCTGACACCACTTGATCTGGTGAACTCAGAAGAGAGCTTCCCGTAGACCTTCACGCGCCATAGTGCCTGACGGTTCAGAGTCAAAAGCGGCTTTCAAGTCAGGGAACGCGACCATTATTGGTTGGTGGAAGCATTGGTGCTGTTCCAGAATCGGTCGGAGGGTGAGGATTTGATCGATGCATCCCGCTGAAGGACGTAAACCAGCTTGGTTTTCACGGAGACGTCTCTCCCTGTCTTCAGTCAACCTTCGAAAAGTAAGACCAGAGAGCATCTAGGAAAATCGTTCGGCTGTGGCACCCTTTTGATGCCTAGCTGCCGTGCCACACCAAGGGGCACGAGGAGTGGGATACTGCCAGGTTGCCCGAACCTAGACAGGGGAATTTAAGAGGCAGAGAGAGAGAGCATCTTCCACGCCACAACTATCAGGCTTTTGTCAAGGTGGATTTCACATAGCGTCCACGTGCTCTTTCTGGAGATAGGAACAACTGTCGACGTGCCCAATTTTGTAGGCGTTTCTTCTTCATTCCACAAGCTTTGTAAGATGGGTTACCAGGGGCTCTTCGCCTTTGAAAAGGGTTGGATACAGACCGTCCCGTCCTGGTGCCTTTTAACGTTTCAGAATTTTATTTCTCTTCCGACGGGTGATTAAGGTTTACATTCCATTCGCAGGTCGGATAATGCCGTGTCCAAACCTAAGCAGGTGAAAGACTAGGGCCCTGAGCGAAAGACCAACCACAGAGCATCGGGCGGGTGCTGATATACTATCCTAGCGTTATGGGCCCCTAAGGAACAAGTCGCCATACATGTTTCAACCCGATATCAAGAGGACTAGGAGAGTATTTCCTTCTTAGCCGTATCACGAACATGAAGCCTCATACCAGTAAAGCTCAATGGAAAACAGAAGCACACAAAACACTGCACCATTATGAGACTCAGTCTATGCAGCCAACAGGCCACACGGTCCTAGTTTGATTGATCAGCAATGAAGGAGTGTGCTGACAGCGAAAACGCGATGACACCAATCAGGAAAGATAAAGATGAGCGTGATCACTGTGATCTTAAGCAGTCGATTGTTTTGAAACAAGCAAGATTCATGGCTGGTGTTGCTGACATTGATGATGACCAACGATGACAAAACAAGCAAAAGAGCTAAGCGAGGTGCGAGCTAAGTGGAGTTGAAGACATCCCCGAACTACACAGCGTCCCTTATCCCTAACGGCTGTTAAATCATAATCATCATCACCACTTCCCTGCCTATCAACATCGAGAAACTAAACTGTGCATTACACAGGGCATATAAGAATTGATATGTGGAATGCAATTTCTAGTTGTTGCACGACAGGATGCTAGCACTCTCAGAGGACCTGTTATTGGGAATCTCGCCAAAAATATAAGATAAACAGTTCTTTGCATGTCTTTGGAACCAGTTTATTTGATCTAGATGTATTGGTGCCATCAACATCTATACTCAGTGTGGCTAGACAGAGTCAATCTTCCCCGATAGTTATGCTGCATATTTCAATAAACATACCAAACCGAGTGTTTACGAGCCTGGAGATTTTTCAGACCACTAAATTTGTGTGCATAATTATCGTTGGCAGCTTGGTGCGTTCCACAACACTACGAGAGAAGCTGTAAACTGTCTTCCTTATGAAATGCTGTTGAAAGGTGACCAGATGCACACACAGACGTATCAGTCGATAGGTCACAGACAGATAGCGTCTAGCTACACAAAGACGAATCAATTGTGACAACCGACAGCAGTTGGTGGTAAGAGGCAGCAGACGACCAAGACTCAGTAACCCCCATTAGTGTGACTGAACAATGAATCCGCAAAGGAAATCACGTGATCCGGTGAACTTTGATGGCTAACAATGACCAACACGCGATTTTCTGACCTTTCTGTTCATGGAAAAGAACTGCTGCGTAGTCTACTGGGTCATTTAACGAAATTTTGATTTTATGCGCCGCGCACCCAGTTCACTCAGTCTGCAGCGTTTACATGAGAATGGATGGGCGACAAGCCCTTATCTCTTGTTAAGTCACCCACAGATGGAATTGCAGCGTTCAGCGCTCAAGATATACTCTCACTTAATGGCTCAAGGAGCTGGTCTCAAGTCATGTCGGATGCAACATGAATAGAGGAAACGGTTACACATAAATTACACCACATCAGGGCAAAACGGAGTTTTTGGTGGTGGTGGTAGTGATAAAAGAACACAAGCACACGGTCTAGCGTAATGGCTACATGAATGCTGGTTTGAATAAGTGAAGTGCAGTGAGTAGGAATAATCACGAATCCCAAAAATTGAGGTTGCTAGGGCTGACTAAACTTTGTCGTCCTAAGCAGCTATTACGAGCATTGCTTTTTGCAGACCATACATTACGAAGCGCCTAATTCTGTAACCAGTTTTGAAACAGCCTTATCATATATGGGCTAAAAAGACAAGTCGATATTCAAAGGTAGGCAGAAACAGGATACGTGAATTTATCTGTATCATACGCCTAACCGAGCTAATTTGGGCCTTTCGATCAAAACAAAGAGGGTCTCCCCACTAAATTGGATGGCTCACAGACCGGATTTTCAATGGGACAGTAGTGAAGTATACTGCTGAAGAAATGAGAGGAATATGCTGTTTTTAGCAGCAATGAGGCAGGCTATCAACTGATTCTGTGTGACATTACGGAACATGGTACGAATGGGTTTCAAGTGTGCTCTTGAGTGAATTATGTGTACACCAAGTGCATTCCGTCTAGACCTGTTGCACGGAAGCGGGTCATCGACTGGGCATGGTGGAATGCTGAGCTCCGATTCACAAAAAAGATGAGGATAAGTGCTCTGCAAAAACATTGGGAGTTTTGGATTTCGCAATAAAATGTGACAAAATAATGCCTTAAAAGGAATTCGGTACACTGAAGTGGGTCAGCTTTTCACCAGAATGTCGTACAAAATACACGAGAACCAATCCGTTTGCGAAAAGTCAGTGTTCGGGGAGGAAAGGGTGAATCAACTACGCCCCCATAGTTGACGAAGTCGTTGGAACCATAATGTTGACCAATCAACAGAGAATTTAGTTGACACGGAATGTCATCGCGGAAGGGAATTCGTCATACTAACGGCAATTTTCACTACTTCATAATCATGACAGAATACCCTAGCAAACGGCAAGAGTAAACGGGGTAATTTATCAAGAAAGGCCTCACGTCCTTGAACGAAAATTTCAAATGGCACTGAACTAAACGCACTTCAGCATCATGCTAGTGTAAGGAAAGAATAGCAGTTTTGATACAGCATGCTTTGCGAAACTCAGCCGACGCGAACACAATACAAAACGACAAACAACGCACGGCTAGGTGGTCCGGCTAAGGATGCTCCTTCAAACGTGCACAGTGAAAAGCATGAACTAGTTAGGAAGAGGTGATAATAGAGCGCTCGGGTTGATACCAGTCCTTTGATTTCGCATGGGTGGAAGCTGTTTATTACGTCAAAGGACCTCCGAAATCAAGGTAAACTAAGTTGGTTGGTCGGCGATGTCCAAGCAATTGAAGTGGCGTGAGGATGTAACCAGTGCATTCTACACCCAGTCGGAACGATGTCGGATTTGCCTCCCACGTCGCAGTAATCGTGTTACGGTTGGGGTACGAATGTGTCTCGCAGTTGGAGATATCGACCCGGATCATTTTTTTGAATGAATGTACAGTGGTTGATTGACTCCAGTTGTATGTGCAATACAATATTCTTTCCAAGTCATTCTAAACGATCTAGTTAAAACAGAACATGAAGAGTCACAGCTGGAGAAAGCCTACCTAGTCTCGAGACACAAAAACCCATTCAGGCTTCGGAAACTGAGGAAGACAACTCGAACTACGCATGTATAATGAAAGACACAGTCATAGAAAGATCGGCAATCGGTCGCATACTTTAATCAGTGATCAAGGAACTGGTCCGTGTTGTGAGCCGGAATAAGGCTTTTCGGGCTGCGTACGTTTTCGCATTGTTAATTTTCATTCAGCTCAGTTGTGTCCTCCAGCACTGAAGGCATTCATTGTGAATCCAAACACGATCATATTAAGACAATGACCCACAATATGCAACTCTGTATCTCAATTTATCCCAGTCAGATGGAACAGTCAACAGGTCTATGCCAGTTGTCCCATATTTCCTCACTGAACGTCCGCCAATGTTGAAATATAGGTGGACGGCCTTAGCTGCATTAATAACCGGCGTCCGGTTAAGGTTATAGGAAACGGTTGAAAGCATACTGGGAACGTTAACTTTTATATCAAAGAAAAGTACGTTGAAGGTCGGGTACAACCAAAATTGAGTTAAGCCGAGTTGCAACCCTAAGACTTTGAACGAATGGGTTGGTGAATTTTATGGTCAAAGAAATCGTAGACAGCCCATACGATTCAGCCATGTGTGCCAGTGTAGCGAACCACTGATCCATGAAGGTGCTCAAAATACTAAACAGTCTGGTAAGCCTGGGATTTCCTGCTGTGCACAGAAGTCAGGGCCTAACCACCGTTGAAGTTTTTATTTGGCATTTGACGGGGCGAAAAGTTTATTTTGGCAAGCAGTCAGAGTAGCCCAATGAACGCACCCTACAGCATAGTACTAATCTCTGGCGTGAATCATCCGGTAAATGGCTGGCGAATCTTAGAATTAGCTTTCAGAAGACTCGGGCAATCAAGTCTAGCATGTAATCACAAAGAATGCTAACGAAACGTGACAACATTCCTACCTGGCCAAACATAGCGGAGCACTGGGATAAGCTGTACCCGGACCGGTAGGACTCCATTTGATGGTATAGATCTCCTTAGTGTGACCTTTCAAATCATGCACACAATGCTCATGGTGCATATCCCATACTTTGAGTGTCATATCATCGGAACAGGAGGCCAACAACCGACCGTTAGGGTCCCATTTGATAGCGTTCACTTCATTCTAGAACGGGAGAGATTACGGGATACCATTAGCCGAGACGGTAAATCAAAAGGATGAAATCAAAAATCCACCAGAAAAATAACACATGAGACTGTCATATGAATAAAATGGAACAATTACAAATCCGCTGAAAAATAAGATACGGTTGCTGTGATTAACCAGTAAGTAGAGTTGGTCGTACAATTACCAAGCAAGCGGATTAAGTTAATGTCATATCAAGTAGGTTGGAACAAGGATGTTCCTAGCGTCGACTAGCACTGATGTGGTGGTGATTCGCATGTAGGCAACGATAGATTTGGTTACTTGAAAAGTAATTCATCATCATCATCATTATCAGCTGTAATAACCGCGTACTGGTCGTACACTGGTTGTAGCTGCCACAGTTTCGTTCACCGATGATTGGGGGGTAAGTAGCTGC